AGGAGGTGCGGAGCCGGGGGTGGGGGCGGGCCGCGCCGAGGTGAGCAGGACGCAGGACGCGGACACCTCCCGGTGATTGGCTGCAAATTACACGGGGAACAAGAGGCGCACGCGGGCCGCGCTCCTTTTCACAAATCCCCAGCTCGGCGCGGCCACGTTTCCCGGCCCGCCCGCCGCTGGCCCCACCGGCAGCGGGGAGGAGGAGGATTTGCTTTTTGCTCTCGCAGATAATTGTTTGGTGGGGATGGAAAGAGGGCGTTCCCACCCCTCGCCCCCTGCGTGCGTGCGTGTGTATGTGTGTGTGCACACACACGCGGGGCGGGGGTGTGTAAATAAACTTGTCTGGGTTCCCTGGCTGGGCTGAGATGAGCCAAGCAAGACACAGAAGGAAGGGCCTGTGTGTTGCAGGAAGGCTCTTAGCTCACACCCCGCGGCTTTTAAATGATATTCCTGGAGTGGCCAGGGAGACTCTTTAAAAATAACCGTTATCATTCGGATTTTAAAGGAAAGGAGAAATGAATGGGTGTTCTAGCTGTTCAGAGCCTTGAAGTATTACGCCAGAATGTAAAAGACTGATGTGATGCCTGACCGACCTTTAGTCAGCGGCTGCCTTTCTCTCTCTTCCTCTTCCTCCTCCATCTGCCTGTCTGGGTCTCTAGGCCCCATCCCCCCTCATCCCTGCCCCCTCCTTTACTATTCCGTCTTTGTAGTTCAGATTTCTATCACACGTTCCTATTTTTAATTCTAAACTTTGCTTGAAAACTACTTTGGTATCTAAGTGAATTTCTACTAATACTGTGATTAACGTTTGACTCCTTGTCACCTAGAAAGAATACTTCAAAGATAAAATCTTTATCACAGATCAAATTTAAATAAAATTTATGTACAAATGCTACTATGAGTTAACCTTTCACTACTGCATGAAATATTTAAAAGTTTGTGTCTTTTTAAATATTTTTTCCTTTGGTAAGGTGTTGAGAAAGGGTAGCCCTGTAGCCCAGGTTGCAACCGGGAGCTTGTGCCAGTCACCATGCCTCAGCCTCCCCAGTGCTGGGATGTAAGCCTGTTCATCTGGCTCTAAGTAATTTTTTCTGAGAGAGAACAGCACACTAACACTGATGAAGAAGAAGGAAGAATCAGATTGCTATAAAGTTACATATTGGAATAAAAACTACATTAGAGAGTAACTCAGAATTGTTTTGGAGAAAAAAATATGAGTTGTTTTGTAAGAACACAATCCTGAGAGACAGTTTAAGCTATTTGTATTTGAATATTCAAAAGACTGACCTTGACCTTAACAAGATTCTACCACCTATGGGATCTGGATAGTGGATAGGACGGTGGTGTGCATAGGCAAGGTGCTCTTTAAAGAGTGGGCAGTGACTGAAATAGCAGGCAAATGTGTTTGTGATTTTGAATACCATGTTTTTCATTTTTAAAACAGGCTAAGTTTGGTTATAAATAGTTATTTGTCATTTTCAGACAAAATAATTGGATAGTTTTTTATTAATTTTATTAGTAAGACATTTCTATATTTATAATGATGCTTTGTATAAGGAAGGAAACTTTCCATTCAATGTTTCTTTTTTTAAAAATATTTTATTTATTATTTTTATTTTATGTGTATGAGTGTTATGCCTACATGTATGTAATTGCACCTGTGTTGTGCAATGCCCAAAGAGGTCAGCAAAGGGAGTTGGATCCCCTGGAACTGCAATGCCTGAGGAGGACAGAAGAGGGTGTTGGATCCCCTGGAACTGGAGTTACAGACAGTTGTTAGCCACCATGTGGGTGCTGGGATTTGAACCTGGGTCTTCTGCAAGAACAGTCAGTGGCGTTAACTGCTGAACCATCTTTCCAGCCCCCCCACTCAATGTTTCTTTTTGAGCTAAGTATCATGTGAAATCTGTTAGCAAACTAGTCATTTCTTAATGAGTAAATGTATTCTACAAAGATTTTTTTCCTAAATGTATTTTCAAGCATATGTACATATGTATATATAGTTTGGGCTTCTATGAATTTGTTTTGCTTTTTAAGACAAGGTCTTGCAATATAGCAATGTGGCCTTGAACTTGCCTTTGCCTTCTGAGTGCTGGGGTTACAGGTGTGTGCCACACACAATTAGCTTCCACATTTTCAAATATTTAAAATGCTGCTTTAATATTACGTTTTGAGTGTGTAAACAGTTTTTCTTAAATAAAGACCTCATGCTCTCCCATGCCAATTTGTGTGTGTAGAAGGGTGTATGTGAGCCTACATGTTCATGTGGGTGTACACATGTGTGTATGTTTGTGCGTATGTACACGCACACATACATGCAAAAGCCAAAGGAGATTGTATCTTCCTCAATCACTCTTCTTGTTTTGAGACAAGATTTCTCAGTGAACCTGGAGCTCCCATTCAGCTGGGCTTGCTGGCCAATGAGCTCCAGGGACCTTTCTGTCTCTACCTGCTCAATGCCAGGTTTACAGCTCAGAACTCAGGTCCTCATACAGGGCAAGCACTTTACCACCTGAACCATCTCCCAATCTCCCTCATGCCCAACCTTCCTTTCTGGAAATTTCCAGTCTTGGAAATTCCTTTTCTTAGGTTTTCACTTGGGGACTCTAGAAGCTCTTTTTCAAAATCTTAAAGAGATGAGAGATTGTAAGCTTTCAATCAAAGGATTTTTAATTTCTAGTTGATAAAGCTACAGAACGCTTCATCTTCATAGTTAATAATAAGGGCTACTATTGATGAGTCAACAGTGCTAGACACTGTATTAAGTAATTTGCAGCATTTTATTTTGATCTAATAACCCCATAAGGAAATTGGTCAGAGAAAGCAAGGGGCCTAGATTAGCTCATGAAGCTAGAATGTTCAAAAACTACAATTTATACCAAATCCTGTCTCATTCCAAAACCTTATAGTCATAAGCTTTACCCCAGTGTCATGATCAATAATTAATTGGTCAGTAGACCCTCTCCAGAAATCAGATCTTAGATTTAATTATGATTATAGACTCCTGGCTAACATGGGATCACTTGAACACACAGACAAATTCTAAACAATACATCACTCATCTCCCATAGCATCCACCCTCTTTCCACCAGGGAACTGACTGTATGCTCAGCCCAGTCAGTAAACGAAAGCATCTCTGTTTTAGTCTGCTTGTCACTTTTTATTGCTTTGATATGACCTTAGAGTTATACTTTATTGTCCACTATGCCTCACAGTAGTCTATACCCTGTAGTGTCTCTCCAAGATAATACATGCCAGGGTATTGATAACTGCTGGCCACTGTTAATTCTCAATTGACTCTCATTCAGGATCCATAATTCCATGAAATTACAAACTTAAGGATTGCTTCTTCCACAAGATGCTGGCTACAACTTCCAACTGTTTGTGAGTGATTTGTGCCTTTACCCTGTTTTATATGTTTTGTGACCTGAAGCAAGAGTACAGGGACTTCATAGATACCCTGATGAGAAAAATGAAACTCCAACTTGAATGCCACCTCAAAAGTGTCCCCAGCTCTGCATAATGCAGTGTTGTGATACGATCGTAACCAGTATCATTGTCATTACCTCACAATCTTTGTAAAGGTAGCTACAGCTGTTGTAACAAACAGACCCACAAATATATCATTGCAAAACAGTAGAAGTAGGTCGGTTGCTCTTCTAGCAATCTAGGGTGGAAATTCCAGGTCAAAGGGCTGCTCAGCGATGAGCGATTTGAAGATTTTGTTGACTCCTATTTTGAGGCTTTGCCACCAACCACATCATCTATTTCAACACGGGCAGAAGGACACAGAGGAGGATGCAAGATTGATTGGTCTTCAAATGGAACAGGGTACTGTGCCTACTATGTGCTTGTCAAGAATGGAAAACATGGCTGGGCATGGTGGCACATGCCTTTAATCTCAGCACTCAGGAGGCAGAGGCAGGTGGATGTCTGTGAGTTCGAAGCCAGATTACTCTACATAAAGGTCCAGGCAAGCCCCATGGCCATCTCTCTCTCTCTCTCTCTCTCTCTCTCTCTCTCTCTCTCTCTCTCCAACAGCAACAGCAACAACAACAACAAAAAACAACAACCTCAAAACGTGCCATTCCTGACTGCTGCAAAGCTCAAAGATCATCGGGGCCACATCCTGAATTCAACTTTATTACTATGAAGGTCTGAAGAACCAGAAACATCTTGGTGGACAGCCAGCAGCCTCCCACCCACAGCAACACAAGGAGACCTGCTGGACAGACGAAGCAGACTACCCAGCACTGAATTACATCTTGAGGTTTTTGTCTCTCCTAAGAGCTTTTTTTTGCTAATTACTGCCCTTTGAGATTACCACTGAAAGAGGCAGTTTTCTTTGTGACTTTGCAGAAAGTTTGACAACTACGAACAAATTATGCTCACTTAAATATCTAAAGGCTAGGCAAGTCAATGCTTGACTATTTACATATTTTATTTATTATTTTTATTTTATATGTATGAGTATACTACCTGCATTTAAGTAGGTTCACCCATGTCATGCAAAGCCTGTGGAGATCAGAAGAGGGCATTGGATCCCCTGGAACTGGAGTTACAAACAGCTGTAAGCCACCATTTGGGTACTGGGAATCGAA